GAGTCAAGCGTGTTTTTAGCATAAGGTATATAATATATTTAATCAAATAAAAAAGGTCTTCAACTCTGTTAAAACAATTTTTACTAATAATGCTGTATCGTGTTTTTATCGCCTTTTGTGAAGGTTAGTACAAAGTTAAGGGGCTTCTGGCGGAAGGTCAGTCTTTTGCTATAAAGATTTTAAGTTATTTTTTTCTGCTTGAGCTAAAGCAATCTGGCTCAAGAAGATATACAATAAATAATGGTAGCATATATATGCTAACCATCTTTTGATACACATATTTACATGTATATCCTCGCAGAAACTCATTAATTGTCTATCAATTAGTGCCTTGTAGAGCAGAGATGAAGAAATCTCGTTTTGGGCCGGCTTTGACTTTGAAATCGAATTGAAATTGGAAATGAAAATAAATATTGTGACTCGTCCACTTCCACTTCCACTTTTCAATTGAGAGTCAGGAGACATATTTTCATGCACAGAGAGTTGACCAAATTGGATAACGAAGCATTCATCGGCCAATAGAAGAAGATGAAAAGCGACTGACAATTTCAAGGCTAAAACATGGGAAAACAAATAATTGAGAGCGTGAGTCAGAGAGAGAGAGGCTGTTGTTTGCTGTTGATAGCTGCAGCAAATTGTGGAAATGCTTAGAAAACTAGTTGCAAACAACAAAAATAACAACAACAATGGCGACGACTTTCATTATTCGATTGAACAATCGATGAGCGCTTTTGGAAATTGGCAAAAGCTAAAAGATTGCCGGCAACGAATATACAACAATGCCATAGATACATAGATGTCTTATGGTCGTATATTCATGAGTGTATTCATGAGTATGTATCTGCGCCAAAGCGAAAGAAATGCAGTTAAATGGCAAAGACCGTGAAAACAGTAAAAACCGTTGCGAGATATGCTGCAAATGAAAAAAAAAGAAAAAGGAAAAGAGAAAAAATAAATGGGGTTGCTCACTTTTCATATGCCGTTTGTAACGTTTTTGTTTTTCAAGATCTAAAGTCTATTTATTCGGATGATCTTCTCTTTCTCTTCACTTTCACTAACTTGATCTGTGTGCAGAGAAAAATAAAGATTCCTAAAATTTAGAATATAGGTTCTTGAGTCAATTAAATTCTGGAATTAAAAGCAATGAATATATTCTTCTTCATGTATGCTATTCGTTGATTAAGCTTATTTATTTTCAAAATTAACAGATTTTAATCGAGTTTGTCATCTCTCATTATCATTCTGCATTTGAGTTTGTAAATATTAATTTGAGGTTAAAATATTTAATTTCATTCAAAATGGAAAATTCGTGAGTCACATTTGCTCCATCTAATTTTCTACACGCTTACAAAAATTCTGTTTGGGTGCAAAAAGAAACATTCTCTTTTGTTTTTTAATTGATTTCAGGATTTCTTTCAGTTTTTGATTTCACTTAAAGTATACAGGGTATTCAAGCCGCCCAGATCGGATTGTTTGGCTTTGGTTTATTTTTTTCGTTTTCTTTCTGTTATTGGTAGTTGGTTTGGTTATTTTTGGAGCTACTCCGACGGCTGCTCTCTGCTTACCATTCATCAATTCGAAACTGTGCGAAAACAAATGTTGTTAAACCAACAACAGGAACAACAATAACAACAAGTTTTATGAACACTTCACTGGCAGCCCTTTTCACTTTTTATTGGCACTCTTAAATTATGAAAAAAAAAACACAATAAAAAAATATATTAAAAAGGTAATGCATTAGTTTATGTCATTTGTTGGTCAAATAATATAAGAATAATGGAAATTAACAACAACAAAGCAACATGAAATGTTGTCCAGCCTTATTAGTGCATTTGTTTATTGTTTAAGTTTTATTGTTTTTTTTATTGCTTATGCATACATACACACACACACATTTCATATTTTCTGCATTTATGAGGTCCTATTTCCCACTCTCTCTTTCTCTTTCTCTCTCTCTATGTGATGCCTTTGTGAGCTCTCTTTTCAAACGCGTCCAATTACCTCAACTGACTTTCCGTTAATGTTTCGAATTTGGAATTAAAACTGGCAACCGAAAAACCAAAAACACAAAAACAAATAAGTAAGCAACAAACTTAAAAATAAAAAAAAATATTAAACTAAAAAAAAACTCCACACACAGACAAAAAATGAATACAAACATAAAATGCAACTGGGAAACTGAATTTTGGGGTTTTGGAATTTGAATTGGGCTCTGGGATTGCAGTTTGCAGCTGGGTGGGTGTAGTGATGTGTGTGTGTGTGTGTGTGCTTGTGTGTGTATATGTGGGTGCAGTGTGCCATGAAATTACACACACAAGCACACATTAAAGAAGTCTGGAGACTGGGACTGGAACGAAGACTGAGACGCCAACTGAGACGCCGGCTTAAGCAGAGACTTCAGCTGAGACTTGGTTGACTGCCTCAACGGACTCTTGTGGCAGCCAACAAACAGCTAACAAACTTATGAGCTGCTGGCAACTGCCAACTGGCAACTGGCAACTAGCCAACTGTTGCACACGTCGCCAACGCCAGCAACATTATTGTTGTTGTTGTTGTTGCTGGCGCGACCAGAATTGTTGATTTTGTAATTGTTGTTTTGTTGCTGTTGTTGTTGCTGTGCGTTACTGCTTTATTACCTCAGTTCTCGCTTTATTGCGGTTTCTACCTTACCTTTTTTTTTGTATACCCATTATTGAAATCAATTCCCAAAGAGGGTAGCCCTGAAGTTGTGCCAAGAAAATAATGAAAAAACACCTGACAGATATTGTCAATTGAAATGATCTTCATTTATTGACATCGATCTTACTTAGAATTTTTATTGAACTTCTACTTTTAGACCGCACTGGTGACAACCTTAATCTAAATAAGCTTAAAGTTTTAGACTATATGTAAGCTTCATAAAAAAGGTTTACATTAAATAGTTGAGATATAATAACTTTGTTATTTTATGAATTTACACGAAAAATTGCAATATCCACAAATTACTATATTTTTCATTTCCACTTTCATTCGAACTTTTTTTTCAAGAGAAATTATGCTTTACTGTGACTTTTTCAGTATTATATCTGTAATATTCAGCTTCTTGAATTCTCCTAATTGTGTTTTACTTTATGTGACAGAAAATTTGCTTGAAAATTTGATTTTATGTTGAATATAATGATTTTTCACTATGGTAAAGTGTACTGTTTGAATATTCATATATTAAAATATTAAACAAATACAATAAATTAACAAATGCACCAAAAGTAAAATTAAATGTATAGTATTATCTATAGTTTGCATATATTTTACACAGTGTATTTCAAACGATTCTTCTCTGATTTTAGTTTTCAGGGTCATTAAGTAAAACGGGCACATGAAAGTGGGACAGCCAAGCCTCAACTAGGCTGGGCTGGCGAACCTGCAAATGATTCAGCGAATGGTCGAACTATTGAAGCCGTCCACACAGATTCAGCTGGTGGATACACATGCCAATAATGCGATCCTGATGTGTTTTATATCACAGATAATCCTTGGCCGACCGATTTGCATAAAGAAAAAAGAGAAGGCAGCAAAAATAACAAAATAAAACCGTTCGCCCTGAAATTTTGAATAAGTATTTGATTTCACAGATGATCCGATAATCGTTGACTGTAGTTTGAACTACATGAATATCTGTAAATCATTGATGGAGCAGTAACAGTTTCTACGTGCGCCTCAAAGTATGCCATAAATTTTGTTTGCTTGATTTGGCGAATTAATGTGTGCTCCTAAGTATATGCTCCAAGTTAACCAATAAAAATTATGTGATTGCCTTACCATATATAGTTCATATAGTATGTATTCAAATCTATTAATATAATCTAAAAGAACAATGCAGTCATACAAAACTGGATGCAGTATAAGCTTATTTCACTGAGCAATAATAAAGAAAAGTTTTTAAAATGTTCGATTTTGTTGCTACTTATCATAATGTGGAAATGCCATTATAATACAATATAAAATATAATTGGTAAAACGGATTAGCCATCGTAAAAAAAAAAACATAGAAATAGTATCATTAACGCACTAACAAAACATTTGTTTTTTATCTAAGTCAATATATATCTTTCATGGCATATCTCTCAGTAACGCGAACTTGGTGTGTGTTTTATTTCGGTTGACATAGATGAGCTCATAACTCCCGTGACTCAAGTTTTGCTCGTGTTTCAGCAACAGGTGTCTGCCACAATTTACAAGCGCCTCTTTTGGCTACATTTATATACTTTTTATATACTTTGCTCTGTGAGCGTTTTGCGCCAATTAGTTGGGCGGTTCTGGGTGATATCACTTAAACAATCCCAGCTGCGTTGACAGTCCATTAAGTCGTGCAGCTGTGTGAGAAATTAAGAAATCTGTTCACTAACTGAGTTTCAATCATCTGCTTTTCACATACTCAGCAGTCGTATAACTTTATGCTTATATCTCTTTTGCTTAACTAATTAACATTGAGTGCTTGAAATTACTTCATGTCCTCTTATTAAATTTATTTAAATATATACTTAAACTTGTTGCAGCAGATGGCCAGAAAATGATTGTCAATGTGTAAATTTTGAACCGGTGTCTTAAATCAATTTGTTCTCTATTGCTTTCTTGATTGTTCATATGGGAGCTACCTGATACAGTGTGTAGTATATATATACATTGTGTGGAATATAATAACACATACATTTTGTGAGACTGGTCTGAATATTTCCGTAAAAAAAGAAATAGTTTTAACACAAGAACATTATTACATTATTGGTTCTAAGCGCTTCAAACTACACGACAAAATTAGCGTATAAACATTTTTAAGTCTAAGGTTAAAATCAAAATGTGATTAACACTTCGACTGCTTATTGAGGAGGAATGGGAGTAAACGCTTTATTGAGATGTCGTGCAACTTAATTGTTGTTATTGAACACAATTGAAATGTGAAATTCTCAGTGCATTCATAAAGTGCTGCCGGAGTCAAAACAAAGCTTCAATCACAAATCAAATACTTGAGCAGAACAACAACAATGTGCTAATAGTTTCAGTATTTTTCCATAATTTCTCGAAAACAGTGAAATGTGGTCTTGGTGGCGAGCAGGAGCTGGTGGGGGGCAATGGCATTGACTTCATCTAAACATTTATTTATAAATTATAAATATTACTAATAATGTCTTTATATAACAATAACCTCTATTTGTACTTACTTGTTCATGTTAAGCATCTGTTTACATTAAACACGATATCCTTTTTTCTAAATAAAAGCGTTTTTGCGAAAGAAAAGATGAGCAGTCCTTTTTTTTTACAAATATATCCAACAATGGTTTTTTTTAATCACACGACACGCGTCGTAATAGCTTTGTTACTCATTTTGTATAAATAAGACTTACAAATTACAAAAAAAAATACAAAAAAATGAATGTGAATTGCAATGCACATAGACATTTGTGAGGTTCACATGATTATGATCTGGAGGCCAGCAGCGCCAAGGCGAGTGCCATGCCCATAGACGCCATCACCGCCCCCGCATCCGATCTGTAACCATAGTTGTTGGGATAACCGGGTGGCGGTGGCATGGACTGGCCATTTGAACCGCCATTATAGGAATAGGGTCGGCCATGCTCATCGGTGCCGCTAACATAGTAGCCACCATTGCCGCCAGCACCGCCATAAGGACCACGCGAATCAACGCCCGCATACCCATAGCTGTACTGCGGATCGCTGTTGCTCAAACTGCCGGGCGGACGCATGCCCGCTCCTTGTGCATTGGACCAGGCACCGGCCCCCGCACCCCCAGCAGCACCATTACCAGCACTCCAGTTAACACCACCATTCTGGCCGTGCACTGCGAAGAGATAGAGAGACACATAAACACTGGTAATCCGCTTGGGCTTGGAGATTCACCGAGACTCACCCGTCGCCAGGCAGGCGAACGCACAAATCCAGATCACAACGGAACAGCGACGATCGGTTAAAGCCATGTTTGAGGTTTGATCGACTAGCTGCAACTAATTCGCTGGCGGCAACACGTCAACGGTTTTAAGCTCGTTTCTCAGTCGGGCGCCACCCGCCCCTCCCAGAGCTTATCTCGCCCCGATCCCCCCACAACCCAGATGGGCTGACACTCCAGTTTGTTTTTACATTATTTTTGTTGTTGTATTTTTAAGCTAGTCGAACTGCGACCGCAAATTTTGTTGTTACTGTTGTTGTTGTAGAGTGGCAGCGAGTCATCATCGTTGTTGTTGCTTTATTTAATTGTTTAGCTACTCATTGTTGTGGCCTCACAGCGGGCATAATCGTTATGTCACGCAGTTCACATTTGCTTTTTGAAGTATTTCATTCGCTTTTGAGTATTTTGAGCATTTCAGAGTATGCAAACTTCGAACTGCAAAAGTATCTTTTTTTTTGTATTTTGTTTTTGTTCGTATGATTGCAATCGAGAACACGCAAATTTGTGTAAGCCTTTTCGGTTGTTATTGTAATTTGTACGAGTTTACGTGAGAGCCTCGAGTTTTTTTCCGGTATAGAACACGTTAATTTGCTGGCTCATTAATGACATGCATGACGAAGTGATGGGCCTGAGTGCTGAGAATATTGTCTTGGCAGCAAACGGCGACAGTCAAATGCCTGTTTTTATTTTCTTTCTCTCTGTTTTCATATATATACGAGTATATAGCTGATAAATATGGAAAAAATAAACAACTGTATTACTTTTACTTTTATTTTGGGAAGAGGCGTGGGCAGCGATTTGTTAACACTTTCCGTTTACGATCGAAGTCAACTGGCAACTGGCAACTGGTGGCAACTGGTAAACAATACAAACGCTTTGTTGTTGTGGAAATGACGCACAAAACAATGGCAAATATTTGACGCTGTTGTTACTTGCCACAATTGTCGACGCATTGTCAAAAATAGGTCACAACATTACTGCATAGGTGATTGAATTCATATAGACAGCTTAGGCCAAAATAATAGTGGTGACAAATCTTATGGTGATAAAATCAAGATCTCTTCAATATCTTTACTGTTTACTTACTTTCAGAATTTTTGTTAAAAAAAAAAAACGCTTAATTTGTTAACTATATTTTATGTATTTAACATTTTTCAAAACATATGTGTGCACTACTATTATTTAGACAGCAGCTGTATATCTGACTTTCATCCAGCTGCAGTTGGCTGATAATTACACACTACACACTTTGATAATTACACATTACGAGAATAAAATGAAATCAATTTTATCTACATATATTATATACGAGAACTTATATTCAAAATTTGCACTCGTCAGCCTTTATAGTCACTGAGGTCCGCAGACAGACAGAAAAACGATCAAATTTAGAGTCTACATATCTTATAGACGGACGGACTAGATCGACTTGATTGGTGAACCTCAACAAGTATATTCCTTATGGAATCTGAGATGATTTATTCTGTTACAAACAGTGGCACAATTTTATTATACCATTTTTAATTATTTTCAGTGTGTTCAGCCTATAAATGTAATTAGTAACTTATTTGTTGACATTCATTTAAAAAGAAATAAATTATAGTCGAGACTGCACTTTTATTTATTTATGAATATTAACTAATATACATTTATTGTACAACACTGGAATTGAAACAGATTTGAACATTTTATAAATCGTTATCATATATAAAGTTTTAAGAATTTGAGAACGAATTAATAATTTGATGAAAAGCATAAAGAAAGAATTTGTATCTTGAATAAAGTGAATTTCAAATGCATTACTTATCCAATAATAATACCTATTTTAAGGAACGCCATCTGGCGTATAGAACCGAAGGTAGCCGATGTGGCAACACTGGCAGTGCTGCCACTAAAATGAGTATTGCAGCTGCGCAGTGGCGACACACAGGGAAGATTCGAATTGGTAATCACAAACCAGTAGGGCAGGTCAACCCCCCTTGCAACCCCCCATTGCCTGAACTAGGCAAGGGTAAGTCACTATGGCCACGAGCATATCCGTGTGTGTGTGTGTGTGTTTTGGGTTTCGGACGTTTTTCCAGTGCACACTGGGACAAATCACATTTTTCTTGTGGCTCCAAATTAATAACTCAGAGACGAAGCGCACTTTTGCTTGGTTTTGGCTTCAAAACAAAAGAAATTAATTATTAAGATATGTAAAAAAACATGTAAATATGACAGTTGTTATCTATTTGTGAGTAGATGATGTATTTCTCAAGATGATTTTTATTTACCATATGGGGGTAGTTGCTCCATAGTGAAATGATAGCATTTCAGAGCGTCGACTCTCGGCTGATGGCTTTGTTGTGCCTGTGTGTGTGTGTGTGTGTGTGTGTCGGTTGGTTTTCGCTACTCGTTGTTGATAGTGGCATTGCTCGGCTCGTTTGCCATTGACTTAGCTTTCGGAGGCTTCAGTCTCCTGGTTCTGGTGGTGAAATTTCAGTTGCAGCACAAGCGCCAGCCAAAACAATTCGCATTATTATTTTTTGTTTTTTGTACACGTTTGGCTGTCAATTAAGAAGCATAAACAAAAACTAGCAGACAGAATGTGGCTCAAATCAAATTAACGCTTTGTGCCAGCAGGCAGCAAAGCCACCAAATTCAACATAAAACCAAAACAATAATCTAGAAAATTCAGCATAAATAAGTGAAACTAAACGCACAAGCAACCAACAAAATTGAGCTATATGTAGCTGGAATCAAACAAAATCACTACAAATTAGACAACGGCAACAGCAACAAGGAGCAGCAGCAACAAGGAGCAGCTGCAACAACAACAACAATAGCAACAAAGAGCAGCAGCAACAGCGCAAGAAAAAAATCTATTGCATCTATTCAGGCGCATAAGGAAAATGAGCGCAAAGGTAGGCAAACTGCGAGAGCAGCCCTCTCTTTCTCTCTCTCTCACACACACACACACTCTCTCTCTCTGTGTCAGTGTGTGTGTGTGTGTGTGTGTGTGTTTGTTTGTGTACTTTGCACTTATTTTCAATGCTGCACGCTAAACGCCGCTTCTGGTTGGCCCCCAAACACTTTGCACGCAGTAAATGAATTTTTTAATTGGCTTGGTAAATTTCATTAGCACTTGATGTGTTCAGCAGCCCCACAACTTAGGAATGTGTGTGCGTGTGTGTGTGTATGTGTGTGTGTGTGTGTGAGGTAGACACTAATTGCATTGCCTGCATTGTCAATTGAGCCTGCAGCCATTTTGAGACAAGACATATGTCAAACATATGTCATACAAGTCAACGCAAGAGCTCCAGAGACAAAGAGCAAGAGCAAGATAAAGAGAGAGAGAGAGAGTGTGAGAGAGAGAGAGAGAAGTGTAGAGAGTTCATATGTGTGTGTGCGTCTCCTCCGATTACATTTATGTGATAGCATCAGCAGAGAGTTGAACTTGCCTCAAATGCAATTTGTCGCATGAACAGCTGCTGCTGCTGCCGCTGCTGCGGCTGTGGTGGGAATTGCATTTAAAATCCAATTCGAGCACTTGAACCCCGATCTCCCCAGTTCAAACAAACGCGCCCACCCCGCCCTCGTTTGCCTCCCACCTGAGAATTCTATGAATTGAAAACGCGTTAACATTTTAATATGCGCAGTTGGGTAAACATTTTTGGCTATAATTTTTATTTTTGATTCCTGATACACCCTTTGCCGAGCAGACCAATGACATTGTTTCAAGAATTAGCTTTGGATCAATATCATTTAAAATACATATCAACTAAATGCTTTCTGAAATGCTTCCAAAATAAATCACAGAAATACACTTTATCTGGAGCCAACGAAAGATATATTTAAATTAGAACAAAAATAGGTCACCAAACAAAAAAGAATTAATATCTTAAAATTGAGCGCAATGAAAGCTAAAAGAATTTCATAAATAGACATAAAATGCCTCATAAATTGGAAGTTGGAAAACACATTTATAGTGCGTGATTTTGCCTTGCAAAATTATGATGTTTATTCACACTGGGAACACACTTTAAGTTCTTCAAAATGGTCTAAATTGTTAGTGGGGGATTTATATCCCACTATAGATCTTCCATCCATCCTGATTGTTGTACAAATTCAATCATTTATGTCCCGTTTGGGATTTCTTTGTCTTTCCGACATGATAATTTCCTTGGATCTGTCTGTGGCTTAAGCGACATAGTCTGCTCTGCTTTGAGAATTTCCTCTAATGGTTTTATTTTTAATATGATAGTTCTGGAATTTAATATACTAAAAAGTATTCAATTTCTCATTTGTATTATTGGTATGGTTTTTAAAAATTACCGCTTTTAGTCGACTTGTTTAACTCGATGATAATCCCAAACATTTTGGCAATAGTGTTTGCAATTCAAACGAAATTCGCGACAAAGTTGTGTCTCATGTATCTTCTTTTTACAGATAATCAGTTGTTTCCGTTGAGCTTATGTACATACATACATAAATACATACATATAAACATGTGTGGCTGGCTCAAGAATCTCACAACATATAACGAAGAATATAACTTAAATTATTCATTTCCGTTGCAAGTTGTGATTTGCCGGCTTCTGAGTGTCATTTAGTTTGCTTTCAAATTGTATTGCAAGTGCCATACAAATTAAATTCTGTTTACCTTCAAAGTTGGCAGCCTTGAGTAAATATTACCCTTGTATACAATAAGGATGACCACAGGCCCCGTCAGACATTCATGAAAACGCGCAAAAAGTAAACTGCGCAACAGTTTTCAAATGCGCTGTATGTTTATGTGTGTGTGCGTGTGTGTGTGTGTGTGTGTGTGTGTGTGTGTGTGTGTGTGTGTAAGTGATGGTGTTTGTGATAAATGGCATATTGTAAGCCAATGCAAAATCAATACAGTGGCTATTGGGAAAGTGACACGCACTGCTGCCTGTCCAATTTTTAGATCATATCAAGTATACGCCATATATTTGTTCTTTCTTTTTAATGATGATTTCCACTGATTAATGATAAATACAACTTTTTGATTGATTTTTGATGTGTATTGATGATTACAATTTCTTGTTATATTTTTATAATTTATTTTTTAATTTTAATGACAATAAATTTATTTTTACTGCTACTGAATTGGCTGTTAAACAAGCATAGATATGTGGTGAAAAATGGTTCTGTGTTGTACATAAAATGCTAACGTCGTCATTTCGCAAATATTGCCTGCTCGTATTTGAAATATTACACATGCATACATAAATAGGCATATAAATAAATACATATACAAATATATATACGATTGGTTGTTTGTTTGGAGATTTCGAGCATATTTACAAATGTTGAATAAACAATTGACGCACGAGAGCGCTAAAACAAAAGCGGCAATGCCATTTAATTGTTCGGCAATAACAATTCATATTTAGCGAATTCCTTCGTGTTGACTGTATTAATATTTATGTAGAAAACACTGGATAGGGAATGGGGGGCAATGGTCTCACCCACATTTACACAATTCACTCAATTAATTTGTATATAGTGCAAAACCATTTGAATACGAGAACCCAGAAGCATATGGTCGCACATACACACACATAAATAAATATATATATATATATACATATGTATATAGTTGGGCTTCATTGTTTTTTGGTATCGCCATCGGCATCGACATTGAGAGCTGCTCGGTATCGTTGTTCGGCATCGTTCAGTGTATTTTCAACGGTCATGGGATGAGCATCGATGTATCCTATATACGCGTTATCTCTGGCGCCCCCACACTCACTCACTCTCTTTCTCACACTCTTTCTCTCTCTTTCGCTCTTTGCTTGTGTGTGTTTCTCCCTTTCTTTCTTTGTCCCTCTCGCTCTCTACCTCTCTCGCTCATAGACCAAGATCTAGAACGCGCGCCAATATTTGTCCAGCAAATTAAGCAACAATACAAACAAACACAAACAAAACCAAAATAAGAAAGAGAAAGAAAAAGAAAAAAAAAACTACAAACTCGGGAAATTTACGTTATGTGCCAAGTTCATTTTTATTGTTAAGTAGTTGTTTTATTTGCCGCCTCATTGCTGAAAATGTGGCTCACCGATTGTAGCACGGTAGGTGTGGAAGTACGTGTGTTACTATGTGTGTGTGTGTGTTTGAGTGTAAATGAATATTTGGCTTATCGCTAAACTGAGAAGAATTCCGATTTATATGGCCAACTATGTAGCGATAAAATAGTAAGCAATAAACATCATTAATGTATATATACATATAAATAAATAAATATACAAGAATGTATACATAAACTCTCTGAAATGAATATTCCAAGCTATTGTGCAGTTTTTTTTGGCTGTTCAGTATTATTTACGTGACTGCAACAGTTATTCAACAGGGTAGTGAAATTTCCATTTTGGATGATATTAATTAAAAATTAAGAAATTTCGCTTTTGCATTATAAGTGACCTCATCATAAACGAATTCGATGTGAATTTGAGATATATTGAAAGCGTCGGATATGCTTGAAAGAAATTGAGTAACTAAATGATTCATTTCAATAACATTTGTAGCCACATAACAATGCTTCTATTGTCAAATTTCCAAAAATTTTCTATAAGTTTTAAAAACTATTTCGATTGTTCGTATTGAAACTATATAATATAGCAGTTGGAGCTCGAAGATTTTTTATCTACTTTTTAGCAAGCATAATTGGTGAGTTTGATTGGTATAGGTTGCAAAAAAAGGGCTTCTTAGAAGAACTTATCTATCGACCAGTTGTACTTATGGAAGCTATATTAGATGTTAGTCTGATTTCAAAGATTTTCTGACATAATTTGGAGTTATGGGATATATGGATCTGATACGGCTGGAGACTAGTTTTTTTCATATATATACCTTACAAACTTCACGACTAAAGTAGTATAATCCCTACAACAGTATAATAATATATTTATATGCATTATTACTTATTTATTTTATACTTTTATGCCAGCTTAATTTGATGTACAGTAATTTTCTTTAAATGCTCAGTGCGTAATTTGCATTTTAAGAATTGTATAAGTTGTCAGCTGAAAATTTCTTGAATATAATATTCATATAATTCTATTGAGCTCTTTTATGCATTTAAATGCACATAAAGATCTTAAATAGAGATCAAGCGTTTCTTTTCATATGCAAAATAGTCGAGTTTACACAACAAAGGGTTAAAATTATTTGAAATACTTATACATATACGTAGACCGGCTCAAATGCCAAATTTGAACAAAGGTCTAGGGTCTGTTTGGGGACAGTCTCTCTACAGGCGGGGCGAGGCAAACGCAATGGCAGAAAAAGCACAAGTTATGAAGACGCCGCTAGAGAGGGACAGAGAGAGAGAGAGATAGAGAGGGAGAGAAGGAGAGAGCTGAAAAAAGTATACAAATAAACATACGGGTGCAAGTATAATGTATATCTTTGAGAATTTCAAGCTATTATCAGACGTACAATAAATAATCAAATAAGCACTTACTGGCTACAGTGCTGGTCATTTGTCTAGCGACAGTGCACAATTTAATTTTCATCTTGAAAGTGGAAGTCAAATTTATTTAACATAATTATAAATAGTTAATATTGCAATATTTCAACAAAAAAAGCAAAAGTAATAGATACATAATTAGATACAAAATTAGATTAATCGTTGGTTTTTTTCTGTGATACTCTATCAAACTCTAGTTTCGTTATAAATATTACTTACTGCTCCGATCTGATTAGATCTGATTTAAGCTGAGCCATAGCTTGACTACAAATTTACATATATTAAACTTGAGTTGAGGTCTTTGACAACTGCATTGCTGATAAGAAGAATTTTCAACTATAGCCACTTGGATGTGTGGATGTTGCCTGTAGCAACATAAAGTGGATCATAACTAACAGCTTGTCATTGTGTGTGTATTTGTATGCATCTTACAGATGACACGCTATAAACAGACCGAGTTCACGGAAGATGATTCAAGTTCAATTGGTGGCATACAGCTGAATGAGGCGACGGGACACACCGGCATGCAGATACGTTATCACACGGCCCGGGTGAGTACGATCCATAAAATACACGTGCCTGATTCGGTGGATAGGGTGCGTGTCGTAGATTTGATTAATTTCAAGGTTACAAGTTTTAAGTACATTTTGACTGTGTTTGCTTTAACTCCTATAAGAGCAAATCTTATAGGCTACCAAGAAAACCAAGTTAAAGGCTTTCCCATTCGATACTTAAACTCAAAAGCAGAACCTACAAATTTTGAGCTTCTATTTTCCTTTAAAGCTCGATATTTGGCTTGTTGATCACAAGGCTTATATGGTTAATAATATTTTTATTATTTGCATTTGGTTACAGGCTACATGGAACTGGCGATCACGGAATAAAACTGAAAAATGGCTGCTTATAACGACGTTTGTGATGACGATTATGATTTTGGCACTGCTCACGATGATAATCTCAAATGGCTCTGACAAGACCAATCATGTGGTACACGTCCAACATAAGAAGGGTGAGTGAAATCATCTAAGAACAACAAAAATGTATTATTTAATTATATATTATTGCAGACTGTGTGGGGGAGAATGAGATGCCCTGCCTCAACGAGCATTGTATATTTGCCTCCAGCGAGATTCTCAAGTCTATAGATGCCAGCATCGATCCCTGTGATGATTTCTATGGTTATGCATGGTATGAAAAGTCACTTGGACGGTATTACTAAGTATTACAAGTCAAATATAACATCGATAAAGAGGAAAAGAATATCGACGAGATCAATGAAAATCCATGATATTAGCTGGTACTCGACAGGGGCAGGGGTATGTAACCTCAGTCGGCGGTATTGCAAACCATCAGGAACATTTTTGATCATTCAGATATAAATATATATAGGGAAAGGGTATATTCATCTTGTCAGCGATTAGAGCATTGTCAGCATACAAGGTTATCTCAAAGATGGTAGAAGAAAATATCAATAGGATAAATAACTGCTGGGAATGAAACAGTTTACCCCAATTTACACCATAAATACAAGCCAAATAGACACAGCGTTGAGTTATTGATATTATAGAAAATGTGTCACTGAGAGTTATCTGAAATGAATGAAGCTTAATAATACTTATGGAATACTTATTTAGTAGCACATTATTTGCCATTGCAGCAATCAATGGATCAAGAACAATCCGATACCGGAGGGTAAATCGACGTGGGGCACATTTGGCAAGCTGGAGCAGATGAATCAGCTAATAATACGCAATGTGCTGGAGAAGCCAGCAAAAACCTTTAAATCGGATGCGGAACGCAAGGCCAAAGTATACTATGAGTCCTGCCTGGATGTTGATGAGCATATGGAGAAATTGGGGGCCAAGCCAATGAACGATTTACTTTACCAAATTGGTGGCTGGAATGTGACGCAGAGCGGCTACAATGTGACCAAATGGCAATTGGGCACTACGCTCAAAACATTGCACAACAAGTGAGATTCAATGGAATGCTTGTGATGACAATAACTATAATGCTCAAGCTATTTTTTAGATACAATTTTAACTGTTTGTTTGGCTGGGCCATCGGCGAGGATGATAAGAACTCTACACGGCATGTCATCCAAATAGATCAGGGCGGATTGACGCTGCCCACCGCCGACTACTACAACAACAAGACGGACATTCATCGCAAGGTGCTCAGCGAGTATATTGAATATATGACCAAAATATGCGTGCTCCTCGGCGCCAATGAGACTGAGGCACGCATCCAAATGGAGGGCGTGATCAATTTTGAGAAGAAACTGGCCAATATCACAATACCGATGGAGGATCGACGCAACGAGGAGGCCATGTATCATCCGATGGAACTCAGGGATCTTACCCGATTGGCACCGTTCCTCAATTGGACGGATCATTTCGACAATGCCATGCAAATGGTCAATAGGCGTGTCACAAACGAGGAGGTTGTCGTCGTCTATGCCCCCGACTTTCTCAAGAATCTGTCCAACATCATTATGAGCATGCAGCAAACGGAGGCGGGCAAAATGTAAGTTTATATTTCAATACAGACTCTGAACTGATGTCGTTATGACAACTGTCAATAGCATTAACAAATTTCATGTTTGGATGAAATTAATTAAGAGCATCGTACTCGATGCAAATTACGAGCGTCGTATATACTTGAAAGCCACATAACAATGCTAAAGAGAATCTGAAGAGAATCTGTTCATATTAAAATCATACAATATATATTGATCTGATGTCGTCACGGCAGCAGTTTTGATTTATCTATGCCTTTAAACTGACTTGTATTTCATCCGCAGAACGCTGAACAACTATCTGATTTGGCAGGCGGTCCGGACGCTGACCAGCTGCTTGTCCAAGCCCTTCCGGGATGCGTATAAGGGCGTGCGTAAGGCGCTGATGGGCTCCGATGGCGGCGAGGAGGTGTGGCGCTATTGTGTCTCCGACACGAACAATGTGATTGGATTTGCTGTGGGCGCCATATTTGTACGCCAGGCATTCCATGGCGTTTCCAAGCCAGCGGCGGAACAAATGATCGGCGAGATACGCGAAGCCTTCAAACTGAATTTACAGAATCTCAGCTGGGTGGACAAGCAGACGCGTGAGCGGGCCATTGAGAAGGCCAACGAGATTTCGGATATGATTGGTTTCCCCGACTATATACTGAATGCCGAGGAGCTGGACAAGAAATATGCCGAGTTGAACATTACAGCGAATGCGTATTTCGAGAATAACATCCAGGTGGCAATTTACAATCTGAAGAGTAATCTGAAGCGGCTCGATCAACCGGTGAATAAGACCAATTGGGGCATGACACCGCAAACAGTGAATGCCTATTATACGCCAACGAAAAATCAAATCGTATTTCCCGCCGGCATACTGCAGACTCCGTTCTTTGACATCAACAATCCGAAAAGTTTGAATTTTGGCGCCATGGGCGTTGTCATGGGCCACGAGCTGACCCATGCCTTCGATGATCAGGGACGGGAATATGATAAGTTTGGCAACATCAATCGGTGGTGGGATGCGAAGAGCATCGAGCGATTCAATGAGAAGTCCGAGTGCATATCTCGCCAATATGGCAACTACAAACTAAACGGACGCAATCTGAATGGCAAACAAACTTTGGGTGAGTTCTGCACTTGATTTGGGCTGCATGGCAAAAATTTAAAATCTCTTTGCTTACTGTACAGGTGAGAATATTGCTGATAATGGTGGATTAAAGGCGGCTTATCATGCCTATCTGCGCACCAAGCCCGAGAAGGATGCTGATACCCTCAAATTGCCCGGCCTCAATTTGACACATCAGCAGCTCTTCTTCGTTTCCTTTGCACAGGTGCGTCTTGATTAGTTAATTGAATGTCTATATCAAATTGAATTGTAAATTGTTTGCTACTTTTCACATAGGTTTGGTGTTCAAGCACCACGGATGAAACCAATCTGCTACAGATGGAAAAGGATCCGCATTCGCCATCGCAGTTCCGTGTCATTGGCACCCTGTCCAATATGAAGGAGTTTGCGGAGGTTTTCCATTGCCAGGCCGGCAAACGCATGAATTCGACCAAGAAATGTGAAGTTTGGTAAAGACACAATACGTAAAACAGATCTCACTACGTCATCGAAATACCAACAAATAAACAAAAACCAAACCAACTAATTACCAAGAAACCAAAAGAAGCCCTGTTAAACTGCAGCACAAGAAAACTATTGTTAGCAAACGCAAAATGCTATAGAATTGGTGTGTTCCATGGAATGTGTATTTAGCTTATAGAATTTATTGTTTTAACTGTAATTTGTCTTCTATAAATATGCATAAGCTTGCAGATTGCCAAAATCACTTTGAAATAAGTCTGTCTGTTGCCTAAATTACTTATCGTTAAATTCAACGGTTTCCATAGCCACAACAAATATTTTAAAATATTAATTGATTAAGTAATTAAACCTGGCAGATGTCATTCCACTCACGTATCCAGCTGGGATTATCTAGATTATTGTATTGGTCTGTAATTGGATAAGGTGGTATTAAGAACTGTGTAGATAGGTATTAAAATAATAATTCTGTTTTTTTTTAACATTTTTTTTTTTTAAGAAGTTTAGTTTTTAGTATCTGCCCAATATCACATAGCATTTAAAAATGTACAAGGTAATTAGGTGCATCTAATAAGTCGATGGCTGATGCATAGTTACAAATCTCTTTAATCAACTTTTTTCATATTCAATAAAGCTGTGCCCATTTACAATTTGCAAGCTTATGGAGTGCTTCGGCTAGCCGAAACTTAATTAATTTAATTCGTATTATGTTTTACTGAGAAACGTCAGTCATTGTGCCTAAGTAAAAATGAAAGAATATCTGACGATAAATCCTTTGCATACTTTTGGGAGCGGGCATTTAACGACTCTAAGCCGAGCCTGGATCGCAACAAATACCAAAGTAAAACAATAAAACAGCAACAACAACATCAGCAACACAATACTTAAACGAACAACTCTAAAATTAACGCATTGCACACAAACAAACCAAAAAAAATTAATAAGAAAATAAATGTTTTAAGTATTATATATGTATGTAGTAGATATAAACAATTTGTAACTTTAAACGGCGGTTCACAGTCAGTGCCCGCTATAGATAACTGTGTGACTAGCTACTTGTAAAACGATTTATGTATATTGTATGTAAAGAAGAGCTCGATTCGAACCGGCAAAAGTGGGGTTTACTATATAGATATATAGAGAAACAAAAAAAAGAAGAAAAAAACTGTATTCTGTATTCTTATTATGTCAAAATCAAAATACACACTTATGTATGCTTGTAAGTTAAACTTGCCCCAAAAGAGCTGTGTTTGTGTGTGTCCGAATGCATGAGCGAGAGAGCAACGCTATGAGAGTGAGCGAGAGGGGCGAGTGAGAGCGAGAGGGAGAGCACATGTTTGGGATAGTACATCTGCCTTTTCGTTGCCAAACTCCAAAGTGCGAACAAAATACCAAAATACCAACAACAACAAAAACGAAGCGAATAAATCAATTTGTATTTTTTTATATATACACTATAAAATTGAATAAGTTATGGGAATGTAGCAGTTTCATTCTTGAGTATGAAATAAAAACCCTTCTTTTTTTTTTAATAACAACATAATCTTAAGGAAATGAAATCAAAATATAAATATGTACGTGTAGTCAATGTTCATTTATTCTTCGGTTTTTTTTAACGCCTTTGTGTGACCGTAACACAAAACCAATACCTATGAAATGCATGGACATCTTATAGTATTTAGTATAAATTACAAACAACTTTCGTATACCGAAAACTAAAAACTGAAAATCAGTAAACGAATATGGTGTAAGTCACCGATGAAGCATTTGGCATATCACTTATATGTGCTTAGTAGTACCACTAATGATACGATACTATGCTATCATACAATCTATTTACAACCAACCCAAACACCAAATGTATGGAATTTATTTAATACGTAACTAGTCAGATTTCCACAGAACTAACATATACTACATATACCGAATACTAACTGGTTAATGTGTAATCATAAATAATAATATACATGTACTTGTCTTGTATGTAATATGCTCAATTGTACCAAATTCCACATAATTCATAAGTAAACTACAAAAAAAAAATAATAATACTATAATTATACATATATATATATATATATATCTATATAGATATTTGCAGAGATCTGTCTACAAACGGGTTCCTTAATTCAAAAACCACACGAAACGGATATAAGAAACTATATATGTATGCGAATTGCACAAATATTTGAATATCGATAGCATTGATTTATTTTATCCTTTCTTATTTTTATAACTAATATATATACATATATATATATATATATATATATACTACATATAAAATGAAAACCAATGCATTTAATTTTGATTTGATTGTTCTTCAGTTTTATGAAATTAAGTTAAAACGAGCTATGGCTAAACAATTTGAGAGTCCAACATTTTATGATAATACACAGATACATATATATACATTTATGCATAGGTAAATGCAAATACATGTAGGCATGTGTATGGATTTCCATATATGTATGCATCAATAAACAAATAATAACAATATTATGAAATATGCATCTGCAACGTGCATGTGTGTGTGTCGAGATACAAATTATTTTTATTGTCATCCAACACATTACTATATACATATGTCAGCGTAATAAATTCAATAACTAAGTGTAACATAATTTATTGTGCATATTGCGGCTAGAAGCATCCGAGCCTAAAATTGCAATTGCGTTCAACAAAGTGGAACAAGTGCATACGTGTTTTATTCCATTCCATTGCTGCCTGCTTTGCAACAATCCTAATTATTGTTTAATGCGCACTAAAAAACAGCTGCTACAGTTGCCATCGTTGCCACAGTTGCCACAGTTGCCACAGCTGGCCCCGTTTACTGTGCCGTGTGCTGTGCTTGGTGGCTACAATGAAACTTTCCTCTACATGCAACATGCAACTTCAGTTAAGATCTCTTAAAAGCCCAAAGTGTTGCATAATTTCATTTGACTTTTACACATCTCAATGCTGCTATGGAAAAATGTGGTAAGATCAGCATCATCTGCTTCATCGGCATCTTTAGTAGCATAGATGGCAGACCAGGACTGCCAATTATTTTCATTCTTTCGCTTTGAATCTTTTCATCCTTAGAGTATATGAATGTTGACAGCATACATGGGAAGATTAACAAGATATCCATCTGGACATCGAACGGATACAATAAGGATACTGTTCTGGCCATTGGACACAAGATACTCCAAGCTTTATGCCTGGGTCATAAGCATTCGATGGCCAAATGTATTTGTAAATGTCTTGCAACTATACTCCAAAAATTAAGAAACAATTTTCATTACTATTGTTTCTGTATATTTACGAGATCGATCTTTGAAAGGTTGTAGCTAAATAACTAATTAATAACAGGGTGTTACTTTATTCCACACATTCTCAAGATTGCATTTAAATTCATGTTTTTTTTCTATTTTTTTTTCAGAAAGTCATTAGTCCATTATATAGCTTCTACTGAATCGATATGTTGGCTTCCTTAAATTGTTTTACTTTGTTGTCTGAAGTCATTCCAAATGCTTAAACCGGCTAAAAATTAGGTTGTGCAAAAGTATGTAACAGGTAGAGCAAGGCTGCCCTGACCCCATAAAGGATATATATGAGTTCATATGTGCGTCTGTCCATCTGTATGGACAAGCCTATCTCAGAAACTATTACAGATAGAGACTACAAAATTTAGAATACAGTCTAATTCAGATTATTAATAACTTACCATATCGATAAAAATCGATTAAGCAAACAGCTTTGAGCATATAAATTTCAAATCAAGAATGTATATCCTTTCATATATTATTGATCATCTGTACAAATTGTCTTATTATCTTATTTGCCAAATTACATATATTCTGTCCGTTTTATGGGTAAAGTCTTGGGTTCTTGGTATCTTAAAGTCAAGCTCTCTCGACCAAAGTATTCTAATTTGTTTTTATGTGCTGCGCTGCCAAAGACTCCAACAGAGAGATAAGCAGAGAGAGGAGAGGGAGAGAGAGAGATAAGATAAGAAAGAAAGAGTAAGACAGAGGTAGTCAAATGGCGCGTCTGGCAAAGAGAACGGCAGTAAATTGCTTAAAGTTGTCGAACGTTGATTTTGGGACAAAACTTCTAATAAACTTTGTCCGTGGCCAGAGCCAGACATATTCACACACACCCAGAGAGAGAAAGAGAGAGAGAGAGAGAGAGTGAGAGAGGGGTAGAGAGAGAAATGTATACAAATGCCTGCAAATTGCTTGTATAATAAATAATAATAATAGCGTGTGATTTTTGGCGCAATTTAAATTTATTTATGGCTCGCTTGTTTGGCTGCCGCTGCTCGCATTTTGCGTTGCGACCAATTTTTCCAGTCTTTGGCGGTTTCTGGCCACGCCCTCGGCTATTGGCAGCTTAGACGTGGCGTGCGTCATGCTCTACATGAGGAATGTGCACATCTATATAAAATACACGAACACACATACAGCTGCGGTCAAAATAATAGTAGTGCTCTTTCTCTCTCAAAATCGAGATAAATTCAAAATCTTCAATATGAAGACAAGTTCCCAAATATTAAACGTAGTAAAATATAACGACCCATCATATCTAGTTTTTAGTAATATTAATTAGTCACAAAAGCTGAGAAAACATCACAATTTGTTCACTACTATTATAATGATAAATTTCATTAATAATTTGAGATACAAAATAAATATAAAAATTATTAAATTTAGCGACTTTAATTTATTTTGTTAATACATTTTATAGATATGCCAACTATTAATACGTACTTATCTTCTTTATTGATTGCTTGTGTTTTTAAATAAAACTTTCATCATTTTTTAGCTTTATTTTAAGTATTTTATTTTGATGTATGTGTGCAATACTATTATTTTGACCGCAGCTGTACATATAAGTGTAGGTATGTCTGTGTGTGTGTGTGTGTATGCGTGTATGTGTGTTGAACATTGTCTTGGAGCCCTGGCGTATATTCTATTTTTATCATTGCGGCTGATCCTGGTCGCCTGGCAACCTGCGCATAAAGCATTTAATCTGCTTAACCAGAAAGACAACCCTCGTCCTGCTGTTGCTGACGCTTGTACTGGTTATTGTCC